GTTTAAAGATTGCTTGAAAAATAAAAAAAGATATGGAGAAGAGGCTGTTTTCTGAATTGAACCCTAAAGTCCCTTCTATTTAAGGGATTTTTCTTTCCATGACCTTACCAACTGGAGACAATGATTGAGTCATTATTCATGTTAAATATCACGAGAATCGCTTGCTTCCCTTTTGATATATGGGACATTCTATGATTTCATATTTAACATGGAAATCTCCATAGAGAATTTTAAGGGCCTCATAAAACCGGAAGTACTCTTTATATGCATATCAAAATTGAAACATAGAGAGCATATTAGACTGCAAACAGGTTGACAAAGGGAGATAACTCTTGCATCTTTATTTTTAAAATTACTTAAAAATACATAAATTCAGGTCTCTAAAACACCCATAAGGGATCAAAAAATGACCCCACGGACCATTATTTTTAAATTGCCCTTGTTACGCTTAACTCAAAACCGAAATCAGTTTGAAGATCTATGGACAAATAAAAAAGTAATAAACAAAAAACTATTTTCTGTACTGACCCCTAAAATCCCTTTTATTTTAAGAAATTTTATTTTCATGACCTAAGCACCGAAAGACAATGCTAAAGTAGTTTTTCATGTGAAATATTATGAGACTTCCTTGCTTCCCTTTGAAAATAATGGACATCGTATGATTTCAAATTTAACATGGAAATCTCCATAGGCAATTTTAAGGTACTTATAAAACCGGAAGTACTCTACATATCCATACCAAAATTGAAACATAGAGAGCATATTAGTCTTCAAATAGATTGCCAAAGGGAGATAACTCTTGCACAAATATTTTTGAAAATACTTTAAAATACAAAATTTCAGGTCTCAAAAACTCCTTTAAGGGGTCAAAAAGTGACCCACGGACCATATTTTTAGCTCTACTGGTCAGAGACCAGAAGAGCTTATGCGATAGTAATGCGTCCGGCGTCCGTCCGTCTGTCTGTCTGTCTGTCTGTCTGTCCGTCTGTGTGTCCGTCTGTCTGTAAACAATTTTTCAAAACGCTACTCCTCCTACAATTTTAGTCTGATTTCAATATTACTTGGCACACAAGTAGACTACATTAAGATACATAGAATAGTGCATCGGTTTTTGATTTTGATGAACGGTGTTGCCATGGTTACTAAAAATAGAATTTTTTGTGAAATTCTTTAAAAACGCTACTCCTTCTACAGTTTTGGTCTGATTTCAATATAACTTGGCACACAAGTAGACTACACTAAGAAACATAGAATAGTGCATCGGTTTTTGATTTCGATGAACGATGTTGCCATGGTTACTTAAAATAGAATTATCTGTGAAATTCCTTTAAAACGCTACTCCTTCTACAGTTTTGGTCTGATTTCAATATAACTTGGCACACAAGTAGACTACACTAAGATACATAGAATAGTGCATCGGTTTTTGATTTCGATGAACGGTGTTGCCATGGTTACTAAAAATAGAATTTTCTGTGAAATTCCTTTAAAACGCTACTCCTTCTACAGTTTTGGTCTGATTTCAATATAACTTGGCACACAAGTAGACTACACTAAGATACATAGAATAGTGCATCAGTTTTTGATTTCGATGAACGGTGTTGCCATGGTTACTATAAATAGAATTTTCTGTGAAATTCCTTAAAAACGCTACTCCTTCTACAGTTTTGGTCTAATTTTAATATAACTTGGCACACAAGTAGACTACACTAAGATACATAGAATAGTGCATCGGTTTTTGATTTCGATGAACGGTGTTGCCATGGTTACTAAAAATAGAATTTTCTGTGAAATTCTTTAAAAACGCTACTCCTTCTACAGTTTTGGTCTGATTTCAATATAACTTGGCACACAAGTAGACTACACTAAGATACATAGAATAGTGCATCGGTTTTTGATTTCGATAAACGGTGTTGCCATGGTTACTAAAAATAGAATTTTCTGTGAAATTCCTTTAAAACGCTACTCCTTCTACAGTTTTGGTCTGATTTCAATATAACTTGGCACACAAGTAGACTACACTAAGATACATAGAATAGTGCATCGTTTTTTGATTTCGATGAACAGTGTTGCCATGGTTACTAAAAATATAATTTTCTGTGAAATTCCTTAAAAACGCTACTCCTTCTACAGTTTTGGTCTGATTTCAATATAACTTGGCACACAAGTAGACTACACTAAGATACATAGAATAGTGCATCGGTTTCTGATTTCGATTAACGGTATTACCATGGTTACTAAAAATAGAATTTTCTGTGAAATTCCTTAAAAACGCTACTCCTTCTACAGTTCTAGTTTGATTTCAAAATAAGTTGGCACACAAGTAGACTACACAAAGATACATAAAAAAGTGCAATGGTTTTTGATAAGTACAAACCAGTAGAGCTACAGTCTCGACAGAGACTTCTGGTTTAGACTGTGCTTTGTATGCTTAAGTCAAATCTGAAAACTATTTGAAAATTTATTGAAAAATAAAAAAGTTGCAGGCAAAGGTCTGTTTTCAAGGTTGGCCCCTAAAAATCCCCTATTTTCAAAAATTTCAATTTAATAATTTGATGAAGTCACAACAGTTTTAGAGTCATTCTGCATACAAAATATTACAAGAAAATATTGAATACTTTTAAGAGATAATGTTCCATGATTAATTTAGCGTGATTTCAAACTAAACATAGAAATCTCCATAGGCAGATTTAAGGCACTCATAAAACCGGAAGTACTTTTCATATGCATACCAAAATTGAAACATAGACAGCATATAAGGTTCCAAACAGGTGGGCAAAGGGAGATAACTCTTCACAAAAATTTTCTTAAAGACTTAAAAATGCATTTTTTCAGATCTCTAAAACTCCTATAAGGGGTCAAAAAGTGACCCCACGGACCATATTTTTTAGACTGTCCTTTGTATGCTTAAGTCAAATCTGAAAACTATTTGAAAATTCATTGAGAAATAAAAAAGTTATAGGCAAAGGTCTGTTTCCAATGTTGGCCCCTAAAAATCCCCTATTTTCAAACATTTCAATTTAATAATTTGATGATGTCACAACAGTATCAAAGTCATTCTGCATACAAAATATTACAAGAAAATATTGAATACTTTAAGAGATAATGTTCCACGATTAATTTCAATTTAAAATAAAACTTTCAAGACCCATAAAACCGGAAGTTCTGTTCTGATTGATATGAAACTTACAATATATGTTCTACTAATGAGTTCTAACATATTTCTGTGCTCAAAATAATTTTTGTAGCGTAATTGTGACTTTCAAAAATTTCATCCCCCCTTCTTCAATCTTTGAAGTCTTATATCTCGAAAAGTATTTGTGTTCAAAAATTACGTACGCGCACTTTTTTATTGGATTATGTCTCTAAAATTCATATCTCAAATTTGGGAGTCTAGACTCTAAAATTAAAAATGTTTTCGGCTTCTTAAGAATTTTCAGTTTTCCTTTAGTAGAAACCGGAAGTGACTATTCCGGAAGTTGTTCTTGTTTCACGCACGAGAGATTTTAATTTGCTATTTAGTGGTTACACAATAATATACCTATTCTCAAAGGTACTCCCTAAATGCTGAACGATAGAAGTGTTCAGTATAATAATAATAATAATAATAATAAACAAGACGAAAACAATAGGTCTTTTCGACAAAAGTCGAAAAGCCCTAATTAGGTCAAACTTCAGGGTCAAGGTCCAGGATGAATTTGAAACCTAGTTCATTTTGAAAGGTCTTGTTACAGGTAATGCACATGTTTGTAAACTTCTCTCCTTCAAACATTAGCAGCAATGATATAATTTTTTTAAAAAATGAGGTCAGATCTGTTTAGGTCAAGGACATGGGGTCAAAAAAGCATTGCATGGCATGGAAATGTTCCTGTGAAATATGAAAGAACTATGTTTTCTCATTCAAAAACTATGACCCGAGTTAAAGAAACTTAAAGCTCAGATCACAACTCATAAATAGACAATGCCATATTAGATTTTCTTTCACCGATATCAGCACTGAGGTGTGCCCTTCTGACTTGTTAAACCTGACTCTGACTTGTTAAGGGTATGGGCATGGAATGGATGATACATGTTTCTGCTGGTTATCTTACATAACCATTGCTTTTATATTTTATTGCAGTTTCATGTATTTGTATATATATATATATATACTGCATTGATACGTCCATCTACACAGCAGGCAACTGATTATGCTGAACAGTGAAGAAATGAATGGTTTATATAGAGGTCTTCAGATATAATGCTGAATAAAAGAATATAGTGGACAAATTCCTTATATGAATCTTGTTTTATAGCTTTAATTTTTTTTTTGAAATTAAGTTAAACTTTAAGGTGTTATAAATTGTCACAGATCATATACCTGAACATGTATTATAAATGTACATGTGAAATATGGATTGATTGATTGTATATTGCTTACGTCACCATATGCCAGTGAAGGGCTTCAAATTTAGACCAATACTCGGCATTCAGGGCTGTTGAGCATTGAGGGTTCCCATTCTTTATCATGCCAATGCCTACCAGACACGGGATCACCTACATTTTTAAGGTCATATGCGAAAAACCCATGACTTCTAATGCCAAGCGCTTGATGAAGAAACAGTTGATACCTATGTTTATGTTTATGTCTTAGGTTTGATGCAGCGCTGTGAATGAGAATCAAACCTGGGGCTCCCGATCACGAAGTGAACGCTCTACCACTAGGCTACCGTGACCCGATGTGAAATTATGGAAGCTAGCCTTATTGTTTTTCATTGAAAAGTTGAAACCAAGATAATTTTTTTTTTGAGAGAATTTGCCGACTGTGAGATTTATTATGTTCGTCACTTATGCAAAGTGAATAATATCTACCGGTATATAATTATATGTAAATACTGCATGAGGAAACAATTTTTTTTTAAAAATCTGTTATTTTCATCAGAAAGGTTTTCTAACTGTATGTTAATCATTATGATAAAGCCTTATCTGCAGTTCAAATTTAAATAATTTTAAATACTTTTCAGCAATTTTTTGAGAGGAGAAGATTGATGAAAAGAAATGAAAATTTGAACCCAGGTTTTCAAACACCATTGGGAAGAAAAAGTGCCATAAGCCAAGACATAAAGGCTTTCTGTCTTCTAGAACAAATGCATTCAAAGGAAATGCAGTGTGAGTATATGCATAATTCAATAGAAAATTGAGTATTTTATACTAGCACGACTAATTTTATATTGAAATGTGAAGATATGTCAGAACAGACAGACTTATACACATCCTTATGTTTCGAGGGGAGGTTGTCTTTGAAGTGCCATAAGAATTTAAGCCTAACAGCTGTCTCATTATGCTTTAACAATTTATATAATCCTTTTTGGTATATTAAAGAAGCACAGATTCAGAATGATAAAGTAAATCATTCATAAAGTGGGAAATATGTCTGTGCAGTTGTTTAAAGTTAACAAAAGATATGAGATTAAGATTCAGTTCTTTTTTTTTTTTTTTTTTTTTGGCATGGTGATTTATGACTCATATATGATATGAAATATTAGGTATAAAAGTCTTGCAAAATAGATAAAAAGTATTGGTTATAAATTCAACAATTATGGACTGGGTTATATGTCTTTTACCTTTGTTTAATATATTAAGTATGTCTTACTTCTACATTTTATTCTGATGATAAAGTGATTTAATTACACTGTACATAAAATCTTCAGTGTTTTCTTTGATAAGGATCTGTAAGCATTAATTTTAATTTTTTCTGTATATATTATTCATTGCTCTCTTGTTATATATGTAATTGCAAAGAAAAAATGTAAATCTTTAAGTGCTCTTATTTTAATGCTCATAAGACGTATACACTTTTTAAGTTGATATTAACAAAATTGTTTCATTTTAGAATTCCACGAATCGAGAGTATGAATTGTAACTGTATTTTTTACCAAAAAAAATTATTATTATTTAAGCACCAGGAGAAAATTCACGTCCCATCAGAAAAATAGAAATGGACTTGCCCAAAAAATCTCGAATGATGCATCACTCCAGTCTAGGAACATCTTCTCCTTACAACACGCCATCAAAACTTCTGCTGATGGAACCAAAGCATCAAAGGTATTTCAAACAGCAGATGTTATATATATGTCATTACTAGCAAAAATGTATTTTACTAAATTAAATCCTTTGAACTGATTAAAAGTATTATTGTTAATTAAAGCCTAAATAACACTGCTGTTTTGTTGCATATTCAAGGTTTTTTTATGCCCCCTCCCCCAACCTTTCGAAGAAAGGAGGGCATATTGATTTGCTGCTGTTGGTCCACTTAGTTTCAGTTCATTTTCTTCACAACCATTGCACATACTGAAATGAAATTTGGTATACAGATTTATCAGATGTATATCTAGATCAGGTTTTGTTTTGGGTATGATCACACCATTTTTGACAGAGTTATGCCCCTTAGACTTAAGAAATTGCAATTATTTGCAGTTTCAATTCATTTTCTTTGCAGAGGTTGCACATACTGAAATGAAATTTAGTATTTGTATATAGATTTATAACATAAATATCTAGGTCAAGTTCTGTTTTGGATACAATCACCCCATTTTTGACAGATTTATGCCCCTTGGACTTGGAGAAATTCCAATTTGGGAGAGTTGGGCATAAGTGTTTTACAAACATCTCTTGTTTTTATCCGATTTATTTATGAGTTAAATTGTCAGATTTTCTTGAGTTAAGACGTGGAGGAAATCCCCTTTCTTTTAGCGCGTAAAACATACAGTGGACAACTTTATTTCTATACCATATGTAAATTACATTGATCTAAGGTAACATGGCCAATCAATTGTGAAAGGATCCATCTATTTTTATTAAATAGAATTCGAAAATAAGTGCCTTTTTCACTCATATGGAGACACCACCACTTGCCAGTGGAGAACTGCAAATTTTGACATATACTTGGCACACAGGGCTGTTGAACAGTTAAGGATCTTTTTCATGTTATTATCTACTGTGACGCCGTCACGCGGGACCTCAGTTAATACAGTCTCATCCTAAGGACCAGCTGCCACCTCCCACATTTGGATTCGAACCCTCAATGTAAGGATCAACTCCTTACTCTGCCACTCTAGAGCAGATGCTCTACCACTGTGCCTTATAAGGCGTCTTTTCCACTTTAAAGCAAATTTTAAAAGAAAACCAGGGCTATATTCTACTTTTTCACTCAAGTTGATATAAGTGATGAGTAATTTGGGTTACTTCAATGTACAATGTTTGTTGCATGTAAAAAACAAAAAAAACTTCTACATCTGGTTTCGAAAAGGGCATCTCATAATTTAAATGTTTAAAAAAATTGTTTCATTTTAAAAGTATATTTTTAGCCATTCATTTCACTTTCTAAATAATTTTACTTTTTAGCTCACCTGAGCCAAAGGCTCAAGTGAGCTTTTCTGATTAAGATTTGTCTGTTGTCTGTTGTTGTCGTTGTTGTCGTCGTCGTTGTTGTAAACTTTTCACATTTTCATCTTCTTCTCAAGAACCAGTGGGCCAATTTCAACCAAACTTGCTACAAAGTATCCTTGGGTAAAGGGGATTCAAGTTTGTTCAAATGAAGGGCCACGCCCTTTTCCAAGGGGAGATAATTATGAATTAGAGAAAAATTAATGGCGTTTTAAAAAATCTTCTTCTCAAGAACCACTGGGCTAGGAAAGATGAAACTCATGTGGAATCATCCTCAGGTTGTGTAGATTCAAGTTTATTCAAATTATGACCCCCGGGGGTAGGGTGGGGCCAAAATGGCCGATCAAAGTTTTACATAGGAATATATAGGAAAAATCTTTTAAAATCTTCTTCTCAAGAACCACTGGGCCAAAAAAGATGAAGTGTAGATTCAAGTGTGTTAAAATCATGACCCCCGGTGGGGCCAAAATGGCGGATCAAAGTTTTACAGAGAAATATATAGGAAAAATCTTTGAATATGTTCTTCTCAAGAACTACTGGGCCAAGAAAGATGAAACTCATGTGGAATCATCCTCAGGTTGTGTAGATTCAAGTTTATTCAAATTATGACCCCCGGGGGTAGGGTGGGGCCAAAATGGCCGATCAAAGTTTTACATAGGAATATATAGGAAAAATCTTTTAAAATCTTCTTCTCAAGAACCACTGGGCCAAAAAAGATGAAGTGTAGATTCAAGTGTGTTAAAATCATGACCCCCGGTGGGGCCAAAATGGCGGATCAAAGTTTTACAGAGAAATATATAGGAAAAATCTTTGAATATGTTCTTCTCAAGAACTACTGGGCCAAGAAAGATGAAACTCATGTGGAATCATCCTCAGGTTGTGTAGATTCAAGTTTATTCAAATTATGACCCCCGGGGGTAGGGTGGGGCCAAAATGGCCGATCAAAGTTTTACATAGGAATATATAGGAAAAATCTTTTAAAATCTTCTTCTCAAGAACCACTGGGCCAAAAAAGATGAAGTGTAGATTCAAGTGTGTTAAAATCATGACCCCCGGTGGGGCCAAAATGGCGGATCAAAGTTTTACAGAGGAATATATAGGAAAAATCTTTGAATATGTTCTTCTCAAGAACTACTTGGCCAAGAAAGATGAAACTCATGTGGAATCATCCTCAGGTAGTGTAGATTCAAGTTTGTTTAAATCATGACCCCCGGGGATAGGGTGGGGCCAAAATGGCTGATCAAAGTTTAACATAGGAATATATAGGAAAAAACTTCTTCTCAAGAACCATTGGGACAGGAAAGATGAAACTCCTGTGGAATCATCCCCGGGTAGTGTAGATTCAAGTTTGTTCAAATCATGACCCCCGGGGGTAGGGTGGGGCCAAATGGCTGATAGAAGTTTTACATTGGAATATATAGGGAAACCTTTTAAATTCTTCTTTTCAAGTTCTTCAAAGCCATGCTTAGTGATATTTATAGGGAATAATCATCAGGTAGTGTAGATTCTAGTTTGTTCAAATCATGACCCCCTGGGAGGTTAAAATTCAAGCCCCCCCCCAGTAAACTTTCAGTTCTGATCTGATATGTGCTTTTACCTAGCCAATTGCTCAGATGAGCGATGTGGCCCCTGGGCCTCTTGTTCTAATATAATGTGGATTCAAGTTTGTTACCAAATTTCCTGAGAGGGAGGGAGTATTTGTGATCACTTATATATCACTTCTATTTAATCTTTTCAATACAAAACCGATTTCTGCATACGAACTTTATATCACAGGGAAAAAAAGTACTTCTACAGTAAATAGATGCAAAATTTTGGTTGTTTTTCAGAGATATGAGCTGGAAAAGAATACCTGATAGGAGAGAAACAGCTAGCAAAGATCACATGTTAAACAAAGTATGGTACACAAAATTTACTAATATTTTCTGTATACCTGGTTCCTATAAATTGTTCCATTATTCACAATGAATATCATCTTTAGATCTAAACAAGTTAATGTTATTCAAAGTTGTTTCCAATGTCTGTAAGAATTCAAATAATTATCCAATATGTTTTAAATTTGCAATTGAACTTTTCACCCCTTTATTCAATTTTAAGAAACATGATTGTTCATTATTTCTATTCTTTTTTATGCTCCCGTTATTGAAGATATGGGTATAAAGTATGTGCCCTGTCAGTCTCTCTGTATGTCAACAAAAACTTTAACCTTGTCCATAACTTTTGAGTGGTGGGGGGTTTAGCTTTCATATTTTGGGAACCAGCAAACTTGACCTTGGAGTTTACCCAGTTTTGTAAAAAAAAAAAAAAAAAAATTAACAAACTTTTATTGGGCTGGCCATAACTTTTGAACAGTTGGTGCTAGGGTTTTTATACTTTACATGTTTATTTATTGTAACAAGACATTCCAGTAGGTATGAAAAGAAAGTTTGAGCTTTGAATCTTGATTTAACATTTGACCTACTTTTAAAAATATTTATTCTTGGCCATAACTTTTGAAAAATTAGTGCTAGAGCTATCATTTTTACACAGGTGTATTTTGTGTTACAAGACTTTCCTTTGGATACCAACAATTTTGACCTTGACCTTGGAGTTTGATCTACTTTTGACAAACTTTATCCTTGGCCTTAAATTTTGAACATTTTTTTGATAGGACTTTTGTATTTAGCTGGTATATTTCTTATAACAAGATCTTGTCCTAGGTACCATTATTTTTTTACCCTTTGACCTGACCTAGGAGATAACTTTGAAAGATTAGTACCTGGGCTTTCAAATTTTAAATATAATCATTGATGGAAGTCCTTTGTTTCGGTAAAAACATTTTTGGTCTCTTGACTGTGACCTTAGAGTTAGACTTGCTTTTGAGAAACTTATCCTTGCCATAAGCTGCCATACGGGGGCATCAGTGTTTCACAAACACTTCATGTTTATATTTTTTTTTTTCATCAAGGGAAACATTGATTTTGGAATCTGTTCCAAAATAAGGACAAGTGCAGCTGAAAAGTCTACCACTGAACAAAATAATCCATACATTCATGAGGATTTCCAACCAACACCAGTTGTTGGGTACCTAAAGGATGGACATGATAGGAAACATAACAAATCATCAGAAGTATTTCTTCCAACTTGGACTCCAGTTTCAGTAAAGCATGACACTTTTATGCCTAAAGGAGATGACTTATGCAGTAAAAAAGATTTCTATCATAAATTCTGTCAAAACCCTTTCTTTGAAACTCCAATTGAATGTAAAGAATCAAAACGGAGAAAACTAGAAGTGAATGCTCAACAAGAATCAAAGCGGGTATTATTTCAAGATTCCAACATTTTAAATAAATGTTTTCTGGAAGAAGAAAAAGAACAAATAAAAATTGATGGTTCTACCCCACTTCTTAAAAGAAGCAGTATTCTTGATATGCCAGGTTCTTGTTCTCTAGACTTAAGGTTTCATCAAACTGTTAGATCTAATGGTTTACAAACTTCAACTTCGGAAACGGTCTCATCTGTAGGAAAACGAGATACTCTTAAATTTAAAAATCCATTGGAGACATCATTAGGTAAAGAAACTAGACTTTACATTTCACCAACAAACTTGCAGAGAAAGCTGAACACACCCTACAATACAGACCAAATGAAGCAGCATTTGTTCACTGCTCATACTTCAGGACACCTGTTAACTTCCAATGAAAGAAGAACAGGTGCTAGGCATAGCAAATATACCAACAGACATGATATTGTTCAGAATAGCCAGAGTTTATATGAAAACTTTGATGACAACTTTGGAGTACACAAATCAAATATCAACTGCAGAGATGAACTGAGCCTGCTGATGACAAGTACTCCAGTGGACAGAACACGAAAACCCATGGAGATAGTGATATCTCCAATATCACACACAGCCAAAAAATCTCCTTCATTTCATGAAAAGGGTTTTCATTCCAACCAAGCCTCATCAGAGGCATCTGTCTCTAACAATAACAAACACATCTCTTGCCATACCTTGGTACCTTATCATACAGTTGACAAAGGTAGCTGTGACAAGAATCAGAGGTAATTTAACAATAGTTTGTAAAGGAGAGTAATCTTGGTTTAAATTTTAAAAAAACATGATTTCAAAAATTTAGTTTATAAGTGCATATTCCACTTTGCCTTTTAAGATGAAGTGATAAGGAAATGAATTTTTTGTCCACACTTGTTTAGTGAAATACTTATTAGTAAAAAGAAATTGCTTATAAATTTGATGCTTATTAATACCAATATCATTGTTTTAGTTTTATAGAAAAGTCAACTGATCATTTGGTTGAGGAAGATATTGCAGAAATTCTAGCAGAGGTAAGCTGATGTGTCACAAAATGTTTGAATACATGGTTAGGGCTGTCACAGGTAACTGAAATGACTTGGAAACGCGGAACAGTTAATTCGGGTCAAGTTCGGTTCTGTTTTTCTGGAATCTGGTTCAGTTCCGCTTTGTACAGTAGAGTATAAATATAGAGGGGGTAGAATTTATCAATATTTGGCTAATTTAGCGACTTATTGATAAAAATGCAGGTGCCTGTGATTAGAAATTACCATTATAATGCGATTTGAATCATTTGGTTCAATTATTTTTCCAGTCAGGAAACTACTTTAAACTAGTTATTATGTTGCTGTTTCTTAGATTTAAAAAAATTTTTTTGAATGTAATGCAAATCATGAGTTTTTATTCTATTGTATACCTGAACCGAAAAATCGAAACTAAGCTAAAATTTTTTAGAACCGACCCAACTTATGGAAAATTATGAAACCATGACAGCCCTATACACGGTGTATCATAAAGTTACTCAGTTACTGCACAAATATTTAATGACATTGGCTCCTGATATTTAAAGTCTTAAACTTTTTTGTCAAGTATATTTTTAGTTTCTACACACATGGCTTAAGGTTCATTGGTACTCTGATCAGAGAGATAACTCTTAATGACATAAATATCTATTATTTCTCTTTGAATTGTCTGCGAATTTTTCCTTTTGCCCCCAAAATGCTATGAAGCAAACGGTAGATGCTGAAAAGGGATGCTTTCTTCTCCATTCCACTTGATCCCACATCTGATGTTTTTAGAGATCATACTCTGCTCAAAATTTTTGTTGTTCCTATGGACTTTTGAGCATGACTAGTGTTCAATATCTTCACATTTCTCTTGAGTCACTTGAGTGGCTTTTCTTTTGCATAGCACTTGGCAATAGATTTTGAGAGTCCCTATGACTGGCACTGGCTTTCTGACAAGATAATAAAGTACATCTCTAAAACACGTTACTCCTGCTTAGAACTAGGTGATACTGTATAGCAGGAATTTAATTCACAGAGTTAAGGTAGTCAACTGGGGGTTTATTTTGTGAAGACTACAATAGAGAAACTCTATCATTTCATAAGATATGTAACTTACATTGACTTCAGTGTACATGCCAAGTTTAGAGAAAATCTACCAAAGGAGGTAATTAGTGACATTTGACCAGCCAACTGTGGATAATTTCATTATACCAAAATTTTGTTTGATATAAATGCAAAATTCAATCGGTTTAGTAATCTGGAAATAATTAAGTTTTTTTGCAAAGATGAAATGAGGGTTTTAAGAATATTGAAAATAAAAACAAAATTGTGTTAAATTAATATAAAGCATTTTTGATATTTCACATTTTACATGAAGTGACCCTAAATGTGAAAACAAAAAAGTGGAATTCCCGTGGGTACCAATTGTGCCTTGCACATCTTATTTTGTATTCATATATGAATCAGAATTTACTAGTTAACATTTTCAAAAAAAATTTTACATGAGAAGACTTGGCATATATAATATAGTATATGTGTTTGTGTATTTTTCCATTAACCTGATAATGACAAGGTGCACATTTTTGGTGTGTCTGGTCAATAGGGGATGCGAACTCCTCTGTGGCACCAGCTGATCCCACCTCTGATGTTGTTAGAGGTCAGTATTTGCACCGCTCCAGATTTGTGTTGTTGTGATGGACTTTTGTGCCTGATTAGTGTTTGTTATCTTCATTGCAGTTTTATGACATGTTGCTTTCATTTTCATTTTTTTTTTATTACAGATGGACCAATTAGAAGAGGATCAAGTGAAGGAGTGGGAGATGAGTGTTTATTACAGCCAGACACAAAGTGAAAAAGACAACGAGGTCTGATATCTGTTTTATTAATAACTAGGAATGTTGACAATGAAAAGTTCTAAAAGTACCAGTACAGTAAATCATTTTAATATTCTTTTTTATTACAGTTATTTTACGAATTTGTTCTAAAAAAGTATTCTTTGAGAACTACAAAAACATATTTCATAATAGAATATCAAAATACAAGAATTCCTCCTCCTCCCTCTTTAGCTCACCTGAGCCAAAGGATCATGTTAGCTTTTCTGATCCAAATTTGTCCATTGTCTGTAACGTTTTCAGAATGAACAATTTCATATTCTTCTCCAGTCAATAGTGATAGAGCTATAAAATTCACAACAACAGCTTATTGAATGGTTTAGAGCATTTACAAGGTATTTTCATAATTCTGTTCCTGAGCTCTCCTTCAAGTTTTTGAAAATTTATCACTGTGTTGAATTTAGTTTAATTATCATGATATTTTTTGCTAAGTGTTAAAAATTAAAGATTAGAAAAAAAAGTTCAAAAAAAAAAATCTTAGTTTTGACTAAATAAGCTATGATTTCTACAAAAAGTATTCAATTTACTGTACATCACAAAAATCTTGTGTGTGCTTTATGCAAACTCATGCAACAAGTTGTGTAAGGTATAATTTTTTTTACCTGTCCATCAGTCAATCATTCAGTTTTGTTTTTTGTCAGCACATCTCCTGTTAAACTGCTGCAAAGAATATGTAGTCTGCAGATATTTAGGATTCACAGTGTGCATATCACCAGGAAATTTGTAGATATTTCAGACGTAGTTTGTAGATTTTTAAAATATGAAGAAATTTGATTCCATTATTTATCTAGAAACTTTAGCCCACTTAAATTTGTAACAGACAAAAATTTGAATATCCTTGAATGCAAGAAGTTTTAATGTGATAATTTTTGCAAGTTATGCCCCCTTTTAAATAAAGAGCACTATGCCATTCATTGTGTTCCATTGTCAAGTTTTGGGGGAGCATGGGATATGTGAGCATGCTAACTTTTTCTTTCATTTATAGTATTAGTCTATTAGAATAAATTGTGGATATAAACTTCTTTAATAAACTAAGAAAAAGTTGTCAAACTCTTGGTTGTTATTTAATTTTTATGAAAAGGGCTACAGAATATGAAAACATTTGATTAATTATTACAGGAACGGTATAATGAGCTGAAAAAAATTAATAACATTAACGACAGCTTGGAGTCGTATGCTCAGGAAGATAAAAAGGTAATTCTAATTTGCGAAATATAAGGTTATGTCCCAGTTGCTTTCTAGTATCAGATCAAGTGTTCATTTCCTTGAAAATGCTTATAAAGAGCAACAAAACTAATAAGTAATTAGTTTTATTGAAGACTTTTAGTTTAATGTGTGTATAACTGTAACAGTGTGATTAAAATCAAGCCTTCACTAGTGTGTTAAAAGCTATTTGCTCACCTGAGCCAAAAGCTCAAGTGAGCTTTTTTGATCACATTTTGGGCGATGTTTACCTGTCTGTCTAGTGGTCCATCTGTAGACGTTACACATTATCAACTTCTTCTTAAGAACCAATGGGTTAATTTCAATCAAACTTGTGACAAAGTATTTAGAATAAAGGGTATTGAAGTATTGAAAAGCCACATTAATGATCAAAATTTGATATAGAAATTTGTCAATTCTTTTTTCAAGTACAGCTTTAAGCCATAATTAGAAATTTATATGGAAGCATCCACAGGTATTGTCTATTCAGGTTCAAATCATGCCGGGAGGGGCCGTGGTAGGTGATCAAAGTTTTACAAAGCGATAAGTAGGGAAAAAAAAACAGCAAAGCTATGATTATTCAATACATATAAATGCAGAGGCATCCTCAGGTGTAGATACAAGTTTGTTAAAAACCCTCCCCCTTTCTTAGCTCACCTGAGCCAAAGGCTCAAGTGAGCTTTTCTGATCAAAATTTGTCCGTTGTCTGTCATCGTAGCGGTTGGTGTTGTTGTAAATTAAACTATTCACATTTTCATCTTTTTCTCAAGAACTACTGGGTTGATTTCAACCAAACTTGGTTCAGAGTATCCTCGGGTGAAGGGGATTCATGTTTGTTCAAATGAAGGGCCTAGCCTTCTCCAAGGGAGATAATAAAGCATTAGTGAAAAAAACTCATGTGGAATCATCCGCAGGTACATGTAGTGTAGATTCAAGTTTGTTCAAATCATGAACCCGGGGGAAGGTTGCTGCCATTATATGGCCTATCAAAGTTTTACATAATATATGAATATATTAGAAAAATCATTAAAAATGACAAAAAAATATACATCAAATCAAGACACAATATTACATAAGAAATCCAGACTGTTGTATTTCAAATACATAAATTATACATATGGAGGTTTAAGAATTTTATTTGGCAATGGATGTGCATTAAGGTTTCCGATGCTGATTTATGGAAGATTGCTGTTAATCTGTATCAGTTTTAAGCTTTTGATGTATGTGTAATCTTTCCTTAGTCTAGATCTGTATTTGGAAGACTTGCATGTTTGATACCATGAGGGATGCATGATATCAATAATGATTGTAGATGATACTTGTAACAATTCAGGATAAAAATGAATGGAAGTGTTGAAGCAAAAATCTGATGCTGTAGCTAATGTTTGATGCTTTCTGGAGGAATTCAGTTGAACAGATATTTCATTTGTATTAAACAGATTTCAAGGAATGCAATTCAAAATACATGTACATGTTTCCGATGCTTTGTGTATAGTTGACTACTAAGTACCCATAATTAAAACAATATGTTTTCCACACATAAGTTTCTGACCAGACCGTTGTCTGAAAGAAAATTAATTCTTTTTTCCGGCTATAAGTCAAGTAGTAGAATCAAGTAAAAACAAGTTAATTCAGAGATTTTGTGTTCCCCACTAAAGGGAAAGAAAAAGAAGAGCATGCACAGATCCAAGGGGGGGGGGGGCAGACAGGGCCATAGGGAGTTATGTTCGTCCGAAAATGAAAGTTTCACACACATACAGAATGTTTGAATAAATTTACGATTTTTATCTTTCGACTTCTACGAGGGCTGTTCAATAAATATTGTCCTCGGAGCTCGGAAAGAAGCAATAGACGCTTTTCAATGATTTAGTCTTCATTATTTAACTTATTAATCTCTTTTAATTAAAACACATGTCCATAACATTTTTTATCCAATTTCTGATTGTTTTTAGAACTCATTTTTGGGTATGACCCTTAGTATACTGGAAAATGGCAGATCCAATGATTTCCTGGACTTGTTTCTTCCTTCTGAAATGTGTTTTTTCAAGTTTGGAAATAGAAACAAGTCAAAAGATCAAAGATCTGGCGAATATTGATAATGTGAAAAAACATTAACTTTCTGTTTATCCTGAAAAACCCTTTACTCTTCAGGGCGTGCGGGTTTGGACGCTGTCATGAAGAAATTTAATGTAGTTGATTCCTGATTCTGGGTCCTTTCTCTAATAAACCTTTCGATTTTTTTTGCAAAAAATTTGCTTTCTAGACTCCTCCAGAAATTAAACTGTCTCCCCGAAAACGAATTTGAACAACAATACCACTAATATTTAAGAAAATTGCATATAAATCTGTCTTTGTGCTCTTGCAATTCTTTGCTCTTGTCAGACCTTCGCTGTTTCTATCAAGTACATCTTATGGTAAACTTTATTTTGAGGGTTTTAAGCAATAGATTCAAGTGCCATTATCTGTCTGAATATCAAACAAACATAGATAACTACAATTACTGATATTTTAAAATAATTGTTAAACATTCGTACACGCTGTCGTTTTCACTCATTTTTCAAAATATAGGGTGACCTTTGAGTACTAAGCTTTTTTACCGTCTAACGTTTCTAAAAACAGCGTAAACTACTCCCGAAATGATGACTATCAAATTTGCTACGTGTCTTTTAAAAAGTCAATCATACATCATCAAATATTATTTGTTGAAATTTGGCAAACAGTACATAAGTTGTTAAAATTTTTTGTTGGCAAGGAAGGTACCCATTTTTGATGCCCATTATATATTTTTTTATCATTGAAATCTACCTGCTCATTTGTCTATAAAACAGCAGGCATTGGTTGCTGTAAATGTCACATATTTCAGTGAATATTTCTTTGGGATTTTTAACAAGTTTAACAGCAGCTTTAACGAAACTTTTATTTTCACTCTAGTTTACTGATTCTTTACCTTTCATTATTCATTTATAATGCAGTGTCTCGAATTGCCTTTGTTTTCCAGCTTCTCACAATGAAACTATGTGATGAAAAGTGGTCAAATAAACTGTTATAAATTCATTAAAGATTCAATAATGAGAGAAAGTCAAGCTTAATGTCATATGATATCTGTATTATATGTCATACAGTTCAGGACATTATTTATTGAACAGCCCTCGTAAATTGGTTTGGGAATATCACTGCAGAAGTTCAAAGGCTTCTCGAGATATCGGGTGGAAACGGAAGTGATAAAACAGAAATTATTACCTTGACTTTTGACCTTTTGACCTCAAAATCAATAGGGGCTTTCTTAGGCCAGTGGTAGTCGTTGTGTAAAATTTCATCGCAAAATCTTAAGTTATCGCTCGGAAACGAAAGTGTTACAGACAGACAGAAATACAGACAGCTAAGCAGACAGACAGACGGACAGACCGAATCAACATTCCCCACTTTCAGTGTGAAGCGGGGGACAATAAGGGCACTGCAAAGCGGAGATCCCTTAGCAATTAACGCATATCTGTAAATAAAGTATTTGATATTGATCCCCGACTCAAAAAGCGTCACTTCCGTTTCGCACAAGCACAGACTAACAGACACACACAAACACATACTGCCTTGCGAGGGAATAATTAGTTTTATTAGAAAAAACAGTTTTCTTGAATTAACTTTTTTACATTACCTATCAATTACAGGTATTATTTATATTAAACTGAATGTTTTGTACAAATTAGTTTCCATGATATAAATTTAATTTGAATGATGAATCATAGGCGTATGAAATCTGGCGCAGTCAACATCATTTAATGTAATACATGTATTATCCATAGTCAATCTTGACTGTTGCTTTATCATGTTGGAAAGAGTTGTTTTATTATTCAAAGGAATATGCTGTTAAACAAATGTTGTTGTTTTTTAACTAATTCAAATTAATATATAATAATTAAAATTAAATCACGGCAATAAATTCCAGTCAAAAGAAAGGTAAATAGAGGGTAAACATCATTGCTTTATTTATTCTTTAATGACAACTGAGTCAGTATAATAACAGCACATTTTTATGTTTTAAGTCCAGATTTATTTCTTTTTTATGATGTAATCATTTAAAATAAAGACTCGTCGCAGTAGGTTCTTGCGCGAAAAAGATCACTGCTCAATGACCCTGAGTGTCGAAGTTTGGTCTAAATTTGCAGTCCTCCACCAGAATTAGTGATGTCTCCATTTTTAAATGAAAAATTCTCGAGAGGGAACAAACACCTTTCGAAGACAAAGATCTATAGGATTTTTTATCTTATATCTTTGTATTATTTACTACAGATTGGTAAAATGGAGGACCTCACCGAGAAGAAGTATGATGCTTTGACAGTGCTGAAAGCAGCAGCAGCCAAGCTAGAAAAATATGTTGAACATTACAAAGTAACTGAATTTGGTGCAGACAGTCATAAAGAAAATGATTTATCAGTATGTATAAATCAAAATCAAACCCAGCATGCCGAAGACCAATTTTCTCTTCCCAAGCTTCAATCAAACAGCAAAGTACAGAACTCAATACAGCAGGCATCTGAAGATTTCGGTTCTTCAGTACAAGATGCCGCTGTTATCAAGGAAGAGACAGGTAATGCATACATTCACTGTAATAATGAAATCAAGAGAAATGCTAATCTATCTGACTCAGGGGAGAGTGATATAACCTTAGGAACAGCTTTACAAATCACGGACAATACTGAATCGTGCCATCAAATGTCATCCTCAACAAATGATAAGAAATGTAAATGTAGTGAATTATTTGTATTGCGATCTTCCAAAGAATGTCAGACTGAGATTTACGTCACCAGCACTGGAATGGAAACTGACGTGATTAATGGCGTGTCCGTGGGGATACAGTGTGAGCTGCTTCCTGACGGCTGTGATTGTAAATTAGAGGACCCAGAGAGCCAGGACAGCTTCCATAGCGTGGCGTCTGACCTTCATTTAGAAAACGCTGATCAAAATGATGTAAAACAAACTTATCATCTTCGATCCAGGAAAAAGTTTTAAATTTAATTCAGTTTGTTAAAAAATCAGTAAACGAGCTTAATATAACAATAAATTGTTTAATATAAAAACATTTGCATTGTACTTTTCAATCCTAGTGTCTTTAACTTATTTAATTTTCAATTTGATAATGACAACATGCCTTCTAATTAACAATTGTAAATTAGTTAAAGGCTCTAGTATTTTTATTACATGAAATTAATAGAAATAAAAATGCTGAATTTAGATTAAATAAATGCATTTCTTGTTTTTCAGGTGCACCAATTGAAAAGGGGTGGGAAATTGTTTAAACTTGTTCTGTTATTCCTGTATCATGTGATGTGTTTCAATTAATTTCTAGTTATGTCATTTACACTTGTCTCATAAATTCACAGTGATTATATTTCATCTACGATCGCAAAATCCAACGATTTTTTTTGATAGCGGTTTGTGATGCCTTTGGTCTTTCTCATCTCATCAATCAAGATATTGTACTTTCCATAACGGTTAATGCAGTAACAGAGCTGCTCAAACATTCTCAGTCTGGTGAATCAATTTCAGACTCCCTGCCGTCTCTATTTAGTCCACGTATGTGAACATACTGTATATTTTCCACATTATAGTCAACTTTGGGGCCTGTACCACACCAAGGTCTTGCAAACAAACCTTCCACTTCTTCAAGAGTTTTTCCTTTGGTTTCAGGTAGGAATAACACCAACACAATAAGGCCAATTAAAGCAAGTCCGCTATACAGCCAAAATGTGCCTTTCAAAAAAAGGTTTTAAATTGGTTAAAGGAGACATTTAAAAAAATTATCTGTCCTTGACCTAAATATAACATAAACCTTTTCATAGGCGTCGGAACTAACCCCCCCCCCCCCCCCCCACACACACACACTTTTTTTGCAAAAATTTATATTATTGGTACTGAAAATTAGGGTTTACCTTTTTTTGTTGGCTTAGCCCCTCCCCCCTTTCAATTTGCTTCCGACGCCTATGATTTTAATACTGCTTTTACATATGTAATAAAGTAATAGTCATGATATCTTCTATATCAAAATTCAAGTTACTTGGTAAAATTTAAAAAAAAAAGTTTCATACCAAACCGTGTGAGTGCTTGAGTTAAGCTTAAAAAAGACATAGACATGGCGAGGTTAACTGTCCAGTTTGTGAATGTGGACGCCGCATTGCCCGCGCTTCTAGCCCAGGAAGGGTAAATTTCTGAATTGATTGTCCAAGGCATTGGTCCCATACCTAAAATGTAATTTATTTTCTTCACAATTACCTGCTTTTAGATGAATTCATTCAAAACTGCAGTAAAAGACATAACTTAATGTTCATTGATACTCCGATAAGAGAGAGAAATAAGACAAATGTCCATTGAAATGTCTTCATTGTTCAATTTTGTCCCGCAATTTATGCTTTATTAAATAAAACGTCTTTTGAAAAAAAATAAATAAGAATTAAAGCATGATTACCTGGAGCAAAGAACATGAGGTAAGCAACCAGGCCTATCATTGGCATCCAGTAAAACTTTGTAGGACAGTAGTCATAAGCCCACGTAAGATCTCCTTCTAAATGAGTATCGTTACACCGACCAGTTACAGCCTTAAAAGGCTCATCATAGTTTGCTCTCAAGCACGTCCCATTTTCTGGTCCATTGTCAGAGTCAATGTAACAATAGCCACAGTTTAAGTCCCGCATACATGAATTACAGTCTCTGTAAAATATTAGAACCACACACTTGTAGGAAATGAATATTGTGAAGCGCCACAAGGAGAAGTAAAATGAAATTGATTCTTTAATTTTTTCTGAAGACAGTAGAACCCGTCTCAGAAAAATTATATATGATATTATACATATAATTAAAGCAATCTTAAGGACGGATGAAGCAAACCAAAATTAGATGCCTGGATTGGTATATATTTTTGGACGTATTTTGGATGTTAATGATGCAAATTAAAAAAAATCTAAAATATTAAGAAACTCCCATTTTTTAGAGACTTCAAATGAAATCAAAGTCTTAATTTACCATGGCAAGTAATATTCAAGATTTTTTTTTTAAGTTTGCTTCTTCTTTTTAAGATATAATCTTGGGCCCTGTTTTATTCAGCTAAACTATATACTATTTTAGTACATTCCTGTTAATCATTTCCCAAAGTGTCCTGACCAAGTCAGTTTACTCTTCCATATTTCGCCAACCAGTGGACCCTTAGTTTCAAAAAAGTTGGACATGTGGACCCTGACTTACAAATATGTTTGACATTTGGAAATCGTTGCAGTCTGTTCTCTTAGCGTAATAGGAGTCGTGTTCATTGCAGAGAGTTGAAACCCAATGGCTAACCAAGCTAGACTCACAATTGCCCCTAAAACAAAGTCAGTATGAATTAACTTTTGACAGCAATACTACTTTAACAAAATCACCTCAATGACACATTGAACATGTTTATGTTGAGTATTCATGAGATTAAGTAACATTTTGAATCGAAGAGTTTGTTTAGTCAAAAGTTCACTGAATTTATTGCTCTCAAACTGAAAGTCAAGACTCACTATGAAAAATTCAAATAATTTGCTTTTATGTTAAACCTATGAGACTGCCAAGTGTTAGCGCTCTTCTACCAATCCTTTCCACCAAGAATAGCCCCAAGACCGTAAAGACGAAATTAACTGCTGCCGTAAAGGCTGACAACCAAATGGTGGTCTCATCCCCCCGGACACCGGACATCCGTATTATTGTGGCACTGTAATACCTAATGGAGCAAAGATCGGTAATGTTATTCAAAGAAATGTAAATAATTTTACTTGAAAGCAGGTTGTTTTAAACAATATACTATGGTTTGATATTTTTTTTTTGTTAGAATAATCATTTCTGATGTTAATGTGGTTTAACAAGAGCTCATTATTAGGTTATCAATACACTACAAATTTTATGATGATTGATGAATAGAATGAGTTGACAGTTTTTAAACTTTTAATATAAAACATATTTAATGCCCCCGTAATAGAAGATTCGGGGACAACATAATAGTCCATCTGTCTGTTTGTCCCTCAAACTTTAACCTACCCGGCCATGACTTTAAGTTGGTAGTTTGAACAATGGATTTTATAATTAACGGGCATATACCTTTGGGGGAGGGGATTCTTAAATATTTAATCCATTTGTGCAAATCGCACTTACATAACACTATTTATTCCCGAAAGCTGCTGGAAGAGTTGAAGGCTACATCCAACAAACAGAGCTCGCCTCACCGCCGGGGTCCGGAGCATTTTTATCAACACAGGTGCCGTAGCTGATAAATTAAAATATATAGTCATGTGCTCATATTTAAAAAAAACAAAACAATTGTTTTGAACTCAGTGTTATTTGTATATTATATGAATGCAGCTCTAAAGCTAGTAATGACAATACTTACACTCCCCGTCTTGTGCTTCTAGATAGCTGTTTTTGATACTTTCGAATTCTTCGTCGATGTCAAAGTGACCCCTCATTGTCTGCAATACACGGCGTGCATATTCCTCTCTCTCATTTATAATAAGCCACCGGGGACTTTCCGGCATAAAAACAAATCCCAAGAACTGAACAAAGGATGGGATGCCTGCTAATCCAAGCATGTATCTGAAAAGTAAAGGTGTAGTTCGGCTAATGGTTATGTGGCATGTTTAAAGCTTAAACTCTAATTGTGTTAAGGACAGATGATACAATTTTTTTCTTTGGAGGAGTCTTAGTAGCACCTCATATGCTTAGAAAAGTGGATAGTTCTTTGAATTTTTTCTCCTTAGTCTTGGAAAATGAAATAGACTTTTTTTTGATATGTCTGTTTGTCTGTTCTTGTCCACAAAAACCTTTCTCCAAACTTTTGGATATTTGGTGCTAGTGCTCTCATATTTGGCCTTTTCTTTAATTATCAACTTATTTGTCCCTGTTCTTGGAGTTTATAGAACTTTGACCTTGGTCATAACTTTAAAAAAAAAAGTGAGAGCTTAGGACTTTATATGAAAAATGCGTATTTTATACGTTCAGTCTTATTTTGGGTACCTTGTGACAAGACCTTTCTTTGTAAATGATTAAATTATACCCCTGCTTTTTATGCAAATGAGACCAGAGTTTTATAAAGTTGGGCCTTTTAAAAGCGACCAGACCCTGAGAAACCCGTGTTACTCAAGTGATCCACGAGTCTCTTGTTTGAATTAGTGAATTCAGAATTACATTTAGTGTGCACCAAAATCTAGATATCCTGCACGGATCTTTCTCCTTAAGCACTAACGATATTGGCTTTGAATTGAAATTGATACCTTCTGATTATCTGCTTAAAAATTCAGATGAATTTGCAAATTCACATCAGTGCAAGTTTCCAAAATCTTGCACTGATTGTCTGAATGAGCAACAATATCATACCTCCATCCCACGTCATACTGACACCATCCAAAAATACCATCTACGACACTAGCAACGAACTGGCCGCACGCTACCATAGCGATGTTAGTGGAAACCAAACGACCACGTTCATTAGCGGGAGAACACTCAGCGAGGTACATAGGTATTGTGGTAGACGTCAAACCTAACAACAAAAAATGTTATCAGAGAAAACGGTATAATGCTTCATGAAACATTCCATTGTTTATCAGGTTTTACTTTTATTTGAAGTAAGATGTTTGTTTTAATATTTTCCACGTACATAAACTTTTTCTGACTCCCCTATAAAAATCTGATTTTTATAGTTTTTCCTTGTGGAATTTCAAGTTATACTTCTATCTTTAACAAAATTGCCCTTATCAAATTTAACGAGGTAGAGTGGCATTATTTATAGTAGTTTTTGTGTACAACACTTGAATGAAATGTTCACTTTTCCTATGCACCTGATCAAACCTTTTTTTTTTTTTTTTTTTACCTTTTCAGGACTTTTCTTTTTGTTACTAAGTTTATAAATTTGATCAATTTCTTCTACAGTTTACAAATACTAACACTTTACAATATATTCCAAGATATATTAGAAACCGATGTTGAAAACATCATTTTTATAGTGTTGATTATGTTCCCCAAACAAAGTTGGGGAACATATTGTTTTTACTCTGTTTCTTATTATTATTATTATTTTTTTTCTTCTTCTTCTTCTTCTTCTTCTTCCTGGAACTTTTTTGTCCGGGAATGATCTTGTAAACTGTTCGTCCGATGTAGGTAAAACCTTTTTAGGGTAAGTAGACATGTTATGTAGATTTGCGGAATCAAGGTCATTTTGCGCGCACGTGCTTGCAAGAGCGTGCACGTGCAACACGTGAAATGACCAATATAATAGATATAGCCGTAACTTTTCTTTTTTTAGATGAAATGCTTTGAAACTCATAATGTGAGGATATATTAGTAGTATAGACATGACGACATGGTGAAAATAGCAAGATCTCACGCGCATGCACGTGCACTTCGCTCTGATTGGCTGCAACTAAAGTCTCAATATCTTTCTTGTTTTTTGACGAAATCCTTTGAAATTTTGAACATAGCCATGCATTTTCCTACAACATGAAATAAAGCAATTATCATGAAAACACGTGCATGCACGTTTTTGATTGGCTGAAAGTTTAAACAGCTATAACTCCCTTGGTTTTCAACAAAACAGGATGGGATTTGGAATATAGACAGATATAATATACTTCTACAAGTAGGTATGGTCACCATGCACATGCATACACGTGCGTGTACATGTGCTGCAATCTGATTGGCTGAAACTTTAAACAGCTATAACTCCCTTACACCCAAACGGCGTGGAATTACATAGATGGATGTAATGGACTTCTACAAGAAGGTATGGTCACCATGCTCAGGTATGCACGTGCGTGCATAAATGATAAAATCAAACATACACTTGATAGCGTATTTTTTAAATAATTTTGGATTAAATACTTTAATATTCAGTGTATTAAAAATATAGATTGTGTAACAATGATATGGTCATGACGCAAATGCATTTTTACGCATGCAATGCTTAAGTTTAAATGATTTTTGTACACTTCTTTGTAAATGTTGTTACAGATGCATAGAGTTTGTCTTATTTAATGAAGCTTACAGGGAATATGACACCAAAAGGGAGTTGGGGAGCGTTTGGGGAACATCTGTAACGGTCCCCGTTACAATTAGCACTAGTTTTTGTTGGTACATCTTTAAAATGATAATCTCTTTATCAGTAAATTTGCATTTTGAAAAATGGATTTTGCATTGCATTTCAAAATAATTCAGAGCACTAAGTAATTTATTTCAACATTAGATAATGATTTTGTACACGAATTTGCCTCTACCTAATGGATCTTTCCTGCCATATTGTGACAGGAACAAATTTAACAATCGATTTTCTTTTTCGTTATTACAAAACATTTTAGTTACAGCTGCTTTTCCATCGAAATTTCTTTCATGTATCAGCCGAATTTACCTCAAAGACCAGGAGGCTTCATGTAAGCTATTGTTCCTCTCAAAACACTTTTCTTATTCACTTTGATAAATATGTTTGGGTAAAACTAAATTTGCGGTTTTGCAAATACTGGATAATTCTTTCACTTCGTGTACAAAATAAGAAGCTTATGCTTTTTTAACAAATTAAAAATTTACAACGCAAAAAGTTAAGAGTGAGTGATGCGAACATACTTCTTTAAAAAATGAAAGTTTTCATCCGAGAGATGTTGGATACAGCTCGTGATATAAACAAATGTCCAGTTATTTTTATGACGGTTATGGGGAATGTAATTTTTAGCTCACCTCAACGAAGTTGGACTTTATGTGATACAGTTGGTGTAGACGTCCAAGGTTAAGGTTTTTGGTGAAGTTTTCTTTTTAAATACTTCTATGCCCTACATTGATTAGATATGTATGAAAGATGCTTCTAATGTGTTTCATTGTTCCAGATGCCGCAATTTCAGCAAAAAAAAAATGACCAGGTTAATGTTTCTGGAGCAGGATAACAATCTTGGTGCAGTTTTTGGAGCAAGTCTTATTTCCAAGTAACTATAAGCGCTATGATGACCAAATTTGCATGGATGATACATCTAAGGATGCATAGTGACACAACCAGGCCTGGGGGCCATAAAAAGTTAGGCGAGCTCACTTTTGATCTCAGTCGCACTTTTCCACTATATATTCCTTTGGGAAAAGTGAGACTGAGATCAAAAGTAAGCTCGTCTAAGTTTTATGGCCCCCAGGCCAGGTTTGCTTGGGATTCTGAATCTGACCAATATTTTCCGGATGATTGAACAGGTTATTGCCTTTGGTACATGTCCTATTTCTAATTAACTATAAGCCCTATGTTGACCAAACTTGCATGGATGATACATCTAAGGATGCAGACTACCAGGCTTGCTTCAGATGCTGGATTTGACCTTTTTTCCAGATGAGTGAACAGGTAAAAGTTTTTGGTGTAAGTCTCATTTCTAAGTAACTGTGAGCCCTATGTTGAGCAAACTTGCATGAAAGACAGAAGTATATGCAAACTAATGGAATTACTTTGAATGATGAATCTGACCAACAATTTATGGATGTGTCCAGATTGAAGTTTTTGGAGCAGGTTCAGCTTAAATCAGGTATATTCCCTATGTTTGAGTAAACTTGCATCGATGATACATGTACATCTAAGGATGCACACTAATGGACTTGCTTTGGATGCCAGATAATGGATCAGGTAAAAGTTATGGGTTCAGGTCTATCACCAAGAAACTATAAGGCTTATATTAAATAAACTTGAATAGATGATGCACCAAGGGATGAACACTCTCAAACTTGCTTCAGGTGCTGGATTTGAATTAAATTTTCCTGATGGGCAACTAGTTTGAAGTTTTTGGATAGGTCTATTCCCAAGTAACAGCAAGCCCTAACAGATTATTTAAATTGCATACATTTTGCATTTTGGGATGTAGACTTCTAGAATGTTAGTTAATTGTGGGACTTGACCTTACTTAAAGACAACATTCGTTGAGGAGAGCTCTATAATCTCTGATTACCTATGTTTTGGAAGTATTATGAGATTATACCAGAAGAACAACAGTTAAAACACTACGCTAAAAATATGGAAATACAACTTTTTCAAAACCATGCGTTTTTTATGCACTATAACTGCAATTTTTTTTTAATGCAAGTAGTTGTCGCTTACTGATCGTTCATCTAATTTTATGTGTCGTAACTCTAAAAATCAACGAGTTACTTTTTGACATCCGATTACGTCCGTCGTTGTGCTTTTAAAAAAAAAATTCAACTTCTTTACAAGATCAAATGAACCTCTCAACAATATTTGGTATATTCATCTATGCACCAAGATATTTTAATCTGGGTCTTTCATTCTTGCATGGGGGCTTGGGTAAGGGGCCAAACAATCAAAATAAATGTTTCAAAATCTTACTACTTGACAAGCTGTCCACCGTTTAAATAATTATGAACCCACCACCTCTTACCACTGGGTCAGGAGTTCTGTTGTTAGAGGAAGACTCTTTGGATCATACAGTGAAATGCATTTCTTTTTTCTTTTTTTTTCAATTTCTCTTTTTTACAGTATATGAAGCAGACAAACTAAGTGTATGTTTATTCTAATGGCAGCTTCTTCAAAAATTGCAATATCTATGGCCCCTGGTTGAAAGTGTTGTTGTGCTGGGCAAGGCTTTATTGAACATATAGTGAATATGCCAAAAAAAATGCCTTAAAAACTTTCTCACTCACTGTTAAACTACAAAATTAGGATTATTATAGAAACCATGCTAAGGAAAGTTTTTCGCTTTCATAAATTTAGATATTTTAGATTCCTTTTTGACGAACAAAGTTAGTTACTAGTATACAGTCAATTCTATATTGTATTCCGCGTATTCGTTCAAACACCACATGTTTTTAAACTGTCTAGAATTGTAGCGTTACATATTGTCGACAATAGGTATCTAAATACCTTTATCCTCAGATTGGTTTATTTCACCATTCTAACTGAAACAAAAAAACAAAACAAAACAAAAACAAACAAAAATATAAAAAAAAAATCGCAACAGTTGAAACAAGGGCAATTTCAATGGAATTTTAAAAAGACCGTATATAAATAAAACCATATAATATTGTATTCTGGGCAATATTTATATTTTTAAAAAAAGTAACGTAATTAAGAAGCTAGCTTAATAGCAAGCAATTTTCAAAGGGAAATAAAATATAAACACATGAAAACACAATTGATTAGTAAGCAACAGTTTTTTCTTGCACCATTCCATTATTAACAGACATGTTTCTTGCTTTGAATAAATGAATTATATTGATTGCAACTCACTACTTTTGGTTCAAAGTGCTTTGATTAAATATTGACATGAAAGGATAACTTGTGATATTTCCTGAGTTCTGCGAATACAATGTCTCTTGGCAAACAGAAGCATATGCTCGTCTATGATGAAGTGCACTCGACTCTAGCAATTTCGATTGAAAAATGTGTCAGAATGAATTTTTTCCTAGGATGTTTTGTTTATCATATTTTATTTAGTGATTGTATTTACATTGTATTATAGTCTCTCTCTCCTCTCTCTCTCTCTCCCTCTCTCTCTCTCTCTCTCTGGATATACATCTTTTCAACGCGAACCTTTTTACACAGAGAAAGGTTTTTTACATTAATTCTTTAGGTGAAATTATTTGTCGTGTTATCAATCTGGTGGGAGAACTGTGTTTGTCAGCTTTTCCTTAATAGGGGAATAGTGCATGCTTATTTGTTTGATTTATATTCCCTCGAGAATTGTCATTTATATCACAAATTTCGGAGCAGTAAAGGGTCTTTGTCATATCAGAATCTACTTCGACACGGGACCAGTTTTTACAGTCTTATTTGAAGGACTGATGATAGATTACAGTTTCCAATTTCCATGCAAATTAAATCAATCAAGAAATAGATGTTAAGTACAATATAAAGTATCTCCTCTCTCGTTGGTATTTTCAATTTTTTTAAGAAGTAAGGTATCATTTAAAAACATCTATCGGGATATAAATACGGGTTGGTCATTAAGCCCGAAGCACTTTTATTGTTTTTAAGGGAAATGAAGAACTTAGTATGAAACTGTCAGTTGTAACAAATATTGTCAAGTTTGAATTTCAGCATGCAGTCAATTTATTGACAAAGTGTGAGATTCTCTATTAGAAACACAAAGGACATCATATTTCCCTTTAAATCAGAGGCGTCTAAATGATAACAGACAGACATGCTTAATGCTATGCGGTTTCTGGCATTAGATGTTTTGCTATTCATCGTTTTTTGCAGCACTTGCGTTACATCAGTGCATTAATTATTCATAACTCTTCACAACCCAACTGATGAACTTCTTTTAGAGAAGTAGATCTCCACAGAGATTGTTCCCAAGTGGATATAGGTTTCTCTATATAGAAACATAATGAGGAATAGTATTTAATGATGATATTTCCTATTCTTTGTCGATTCTTGACAGTCTGGGCTCTTTTATAATTAGATCATAGTCCTTCATTAGACTTTTTAAGTCCTTTCAGATTGCTTCTAGTAGCCAAACTCGGTGTTTCATTTTCCACATTTGCTTTCTGTTTGCTCTAATTTGAAGCAGACTTTTTCTCAATACATGATTTCTTTTCATTTTGGGGTATGCATATTTTATGTGGAGTCGGTGAACTTCCTTAAAAAGCATCATTAAATAGTGAAAGTCTCAATAAATTGACCTTTTACTCTCGCACGAACAGAAGTATCCTTGTACAAATACAATCAAAAATGTGCTTTTTCTGTATGTTATCTCATGTAGCATTAAACGTATCAAATGATTTTTGACTAAGAAAGCTTGTTTCAATATGCCTTGCGTGAAGAGCTAGGAGGGAAGGCTTTGATTAGAGTAATACTAAATGTGGAGTAGAAACTAAGTGGATTAATCTGTATACCAAATTTCATTTCTATATGTGCAACCTCTGCGAAGAAAATGAACGGAAACTGCAAATAATTGGAATTTTTCAAAGTTCAGAAGCATAACTCTGACAAAAAAGGCTTGATCCTACCCAAAACAGAACTTGACCTAGATATTGTAATAAATCTGTATACCAAATTTCATTTCAATATGCGCAACCTCTGCGAAGAAAATGAACGTAAACTGATGGTGGACCAACAATAGAAAACACAAGATGAGTGAGTGAGTGTTAAAATTGCTTCAGAGGAATGACATTTAAAATAGGAAAAAGAGAAATGTCCGTCAAACTGAGAGACCCCCCCCCAAAAAAAATGCAACAAGCAATGGTTAAGTAAAATATATAAAAATATCTTCAATAAAATAAAAACAGATTCATTTTTAACTGAAAAAAAAACAAGAATATGTACTCGTACATGTATTTGTTTTAATAATACACATAAGAACAAGAAGAAACATTTAAAAAAAAAAAACAAAAAAAAAAAACACATCCATACAATTCTTACAATAAAATAGATGAATAGAAGGTGAGGTGATACAACCCTGCTATGATATCCTCATCTACTTTTTTTTTTTTTTTAAAAAGCTTTCAGGAAACAGTCATAAATTGGTGAAAAAGTCATCTATGTTTACAATTTGTTATCCTATTCTAATTTAAATAGTTGTTTTACCCTAAATCTTGCTCAATTTTGTTAGCCCCTTTCCCCTAGGATAAAAATCAAACTACAACCAAATCGATTTGGAAGCCAGATTAATAAATTGGGTTTTGCTGACGAAAATGAAAAATGACAATAGAATGACGTAGTTGTGATCGAAAAAAGTCAAAAGATAACATAAATGAATTATAAATTGCGATAGACTCGCTACTATCATTTATAACAGGTGTTTGTTAATATTTTTTTAAACTCTCGGTCCATCAGCTTTTATAAACATAATGTAATATTTTTCACTGTAAGAACAAGCACTTGATGAATACATTTTATAAAAATACTTGGAAACGGTACTTATATTTTTACCGTGTAATGACAGACCTAAGGATAAATCCAATAGCGGAAATGATCAAAATTCTGCGAGCACTGCCGCTTAAACGTTGATTAGACAACGACAAACGATTACAGGGACAGAAAAACAAATAAATATGGTAATGTAGAGGACCTCGTCTCCATAGCTCCCAGCATTTGACAATTAATGAAGACGGGGCCCCCATCATGTCGCATTTGCTCCGTAGGCAAGTTAAAACACTTCAACTTAATTCTGATGGTAAAAAAAACTTCCTACATATCGATGGATTGATTTTATCCTTCAAGAGTCATTAGGGGGAAGCATCGATGTGCGCGGCATGGCGTGTAAAACTGCCCTGTCTTAGTACTGTAACCTTTCGTCCTAACTAATTGCTGGTCATTAAATGCCAGTTGTATCAGGGCTAGATCTTAACCCTAAGAACCGTTTCTTGCCTATCGACAATTTACAAGGATGTTTTTTTAGAAACGATGCTACATAGTGTAAGAAATTAAAACATAAAATTTTACATCTTTTCAGATGACATTTAACAACAGCAACAGAAAGATGCTGGAAGGTGAGTAAAATGAATTCGGAAGGGTTGTCTTGAACTGTAGAGAGGTTTTATAGCGATTCGGTAAGCTTTAGTGCCATTTTTATCCTCTTGATTGGCGGTTGAGCCGGGGGAACTCGGCGATCCTTTCTTGAGGTGTTGATTCTATTCCTGTAGGGACATCAGTACCGAAGTCAATCGATTAAACAACAAAACTCATCAAATTAGGTTAAACCCTAATCTTATCATTTAAGGACATCCAATGACATTATGACTTAACCACAGATGTAGAAATGATAATTTTCTTTGGTCCTGTCCCTATTTCATGCAGCATGATGAATCCTTTACAACTCTCTGAGGCATGTTGTAAATTTTAAAATACATTCTGTTTTATGAGCGCTTGAGATAGATCTTTGAAGAACAGATTCATAATTCATTTTTTAAAACCTTAATAACATTAGTCGGTATCTAAATACATTTATTTCTTAAATATTTATTCCTTTGCAGCACCATGTAAGCATCTATAGTCCGTATAGTGCTCAAATTTACAATTTCGATTTGAACATTTATGAGTTGGTCATCGTAAATCTCCATTAAGATTGCATATAAATCAAAAAGGAAATAATAAAGACAACAATGAAATAAACCTAAATCTAGAGTGTTAAGAGTAAGAGTAAGCTGTGTTACTTTATACTACTTGTTTTACATATAAACTCATGACGTAATTATGCGATGGAATAGAGAAAGAAATCTTGCTATTTTAGAGTTTTCATATACCAAGTAACCATGGAATCTGTGGATTGAATAAGTCTAATTCAGATTTTACAGACTATACATCTATGCTCTTGTCTTGTTCAATAATATACCTGAAGTTTTTTAAAAAAAACTCTCTCATACCTTAGGGGATCTTCAAGTGAAAACCAATTTTCACAGTCTCTTACTTCATTATTCGAAAAGAAACTTTTTATTCAATCTGTTTCTTACTATAAACTGTAAAAATCAATAAGTAAAAAATCATACAAACCTATTCCAGCACCGACAATTATCCGTCCCGCTAAAAGCAAGTATTTATCGCCTGCAATCCCCATACAGAGGGCGCCCACTGTAAAAACCACACTGGCCGCCATTATCACGGGTCTCCTACCCAGTCGGTCATTCAAAAATCCCCCAATAGGGGCAAAAAGGGCTGCAGCGGCCACAGTGACGCTGACAATATATTCCTGCCAAACGAGAGACAATTGAAACTCGTCACGGAGGACAATCATTGCACCAGAAATCACGCCAGTGTCATATCCGAACAAAAATCCTCCGAGAGCAGAGAAAAAAGTCAGAACATAAACAAATCCGGGTGTTCTCTGTTGTGACGAAAGACTATCAATTTTCAAACTTAGCTTTTCCTCTTCTGGGTCGCCATATAAACTTTGTGGTCTTCGCGCGCCGTTCGCTGTGGCACCATTCATTGTCCCCGACGTTTTCTCCCTGTTGTAATCACAGGGCAGCCTATTACTCCCCCCGCACGACCTCAGCCTTTGTTGGTGTCTTCATGCATCTGAAGACCATTCTCTGATGTCATCACACTGAAGCTGGCTTGATCAACTATTGGAAAACCGAAGCGCTTGGATAAGAGATTTTGTCATCGATCGGTCCGCTGTCAACTAAAATTGGCCTCTTTGGGCCATGGATGCTACCTGGAAAGCTAACAGGTGATATCATTTATTGACAGATTTCACCATGTCGCCCTTAATAACATTTAATAAAGCTTATCTGGAGAAGAATCAATTAATTTCTACGTAATTAATAAAACGTAACATCGAACTATTATTTCCGAGACTAAAGTACGTGAATCAATACGGTAAGCGTGATTTCGCTCAAATCATTAGTGATACAATAATAACATTCCACTCAATTTGAAAAAAAAATGCTTGTGCACGATTGGACAAAAGAATTAACAATGCCATTATTATCAATTATAAACCTGCACAAATACTTGATTGGTATAAATCGTTTAATCATACCAATGTTAAGTTCTCTTTCACATGAAAGAGATATTTTGAAATTGATTTTTGTTATTCGAAACCAAAGCAACTGCTTGAAGTATAAAAACACCGTGCGCCTCTATCAATTTATTTTTCCAGAAAATCAAAATGCCTATAACATTTATAGAAAAAAACTAATAAAAGGGGAAAAGCATCCCATTCAAATAGTTTAGTTTTGCTATACATGGAAACCTTTCATGCATACCGATGAGGTCTTGGCATAAACATGTCCAAATAGAGATGTTAGTGTGAGATAATGATGACAAAATACCAGTGGGAGTTAATTTGGAGTAAGTGCACTTATGGATTCAGTAAATATTCCAATGGCTGTGGTCATTCTCTTAAAAACCTATTAAACCATCAAGATTCCATTAATGTCAGTTTATATAAGTTTATCGCGATTTCTTCAATAATCAAAACACACGCCATCAGAGTACAAAGTCTAGTATAATATCACGAACATTATAGTCCTCAGCTTGTGTCCAATTTCTGTAGGAGAACAGAATTAAGTACCATTGTGGCTTTATCATGCCTCTAAGTTTAAAACTTCAATTAAAAAAAGGGTTTTAATATCAGTTAAATATATAAATATTACACATCATAAAAAAAATGTGGCATAAATTGAAAAGGGAGGTTTTCTGGAAATATGACGTCACTAATTCCTTGAATATCTAAGTTTTTAAGATATCCCTTTAATTTTTCAGAGAGAAGTTCAAAACGACTTTTCATACAATAAGTTTGATGGCTGATCCGTAGGTACTAGTAACGGTTTCTAAATCAGTAAAATGGGTGGAAGAAAATGTAACGCAGATAAATACTATTCTCAGTGATAACTATGACTTGCTCTCTAATTGTCTGATTCATTCGTTTGATAGCACAGAAGTAAAACAATATATTGAAAATTTTAGTAAAACTTTATGTGATTTGATTCTACTATACTGTAAAATTATACAGAGTAATGGCTCTATTCATATGAATATAGAGCACAACCTTTGATCCAAAATATGCAATTGCATAATGAATGATCTGTTTTTTTTTTTTAATATAATGAAAAACGTGTTTAAATTTTAGGATCGTGGGCTGTGCTCATATTTTAATTGCTAAATGTAGTTAAATACGCATGTTTCCTGCAAAATTAAAGAACATTCCACTTTCTCAAAGATTGTTTACCGATACCTTGATTCTCAAAAAGAAACTCTGTTATAGGAAATGAAAGCACTAAGTCTCTACTTTATTTTGATATATAAATGGGACAGAGGGTGATATTCAATTATTTTATATAAGAACAGTTACATCGTTCTTCTACATTTTCTAAATATTACTTGTACACAACATGGCTTTTCCCATTGCTATCATTGATGTTGTCGGTTGTTGAACATAACAAATACATGCATGTTTCATTCCTAATTGTTGCTTGTTACCAGTACTTTTGATTTTAAATGACTTTCATGTAACTTTTCATTTCTATTGTTAGTGAGACATTTACGCCTGTTCGGGTTGCCTGCGTGGCGCAGTGTTTAGAGCTGACTCGGATGAGACTATAAAGTTAACCGAGGTCCCGTATCGCCGTAGATTTTGGCACACCAAAAATCCGTCATTGCTCAATTACCTTAAGTGCCAAGTTTAGTTTTAAATTTGCAGCCCTCCACCGGCTAGTGATGTCTCCATATGAGTGAAAAATTTTCGAGAAGGGTGTTTAACAACAAACTATCTTCCATCCAGTAGAGCTACACTTAGTTTAATTTGGTTCTCATTAACTAATTGAACAGTTAAATACTAGTTAATAATTAACAACGTAATAAATCAATATGTGATTGTTAAATTTGCAAAGTAAGGCAAAGAGATACGCATTTTGTGTCTATTAAACTATAATTAATAAGTGTATTTTTTTTTTTTCAAGCGCTAACAAAATCCAAAAAATTCAATTTATTAAAACTGATGTCTATAAATCCTTGAAATTCATAACAGAAATACGAACAGAAATGTGAGCATGAGTCCAGGGACTCCAGTATTGACATACGTAACTTTGTCAAAAAGTCCTTCGATATAATTTTCAATTGTAATTCTATTTTATATTAAAGAAACAAAAATTCTAATTCAATGTAAAATTTTAAAAAAATCCGTCCAGGCTTGTTTTAAATTTTTTCTAGAACTCGAAATAAATATGCTATTGATTTTTCAATCATATTTTGATGCAATAAGACTTGAATTTATCTTAATTGACATTGCATTCTAGCCCAGCGCAATGAAATGTAATTCAATTCTTATCAAGATAAGCAAGATTAATTCCCTTGGAAGAAAAAAAAAATCACTCAACAGTCCAAAACAAGCCTTCTTTTCGTCTGGATGTTTTGTGCATACCAACACTTATCTGTTGATGAAAAAAATCATCAATACATAACTTTGTCGAAAAGTCTTTTGAACACATATTCAAAAATATGTGGATTAAAACAGTTCCATCAAGTCTGTTTCTTAAAAACTTTTTCCTGAGGACGAAATATATAGAAATAGTGTGGATTTCCAATCATTTTTGGAATTCAATGACGAAACAAATTGACTAAGTTTATTTTGATTGGTCAATTTGCAAGGCCTTACAATGGGTTACATTGTATTGCAGCAGAGCATGCAGAGTGCAGTATCGTTCAATGATACTATTATTTAAACAAGTACAATTAGTTTACTTGTTGGGAATATTCCCCCACCATCCACCCTCCAAAGACAGCCTATATATACATTTTTCCCTTGCGACTGATTATAAGTAGTAAAATTTGCATAATGTAAGTCTGTGACAAAGTTCGATAACTCAAATTATGGCCCTTTGAACAACGTTGATAAAATGATCTTTGCTCTCTGCTTTATATTATGCAAATGTTCAGTCAATGCTAAGGGGCGGCAAGTTTGTAAACTATATAAGACTTCAGAGAGTCATTTCCATCGTGATCAAGTGTTTAAGCCAGAGTGAGTAACGGCAATGTCGCTTACAAAGTTTGGTTTTAGTGTGAGTTTATCTCACCAAACAAGTACTGCTACATTGAAAGCAGTATACAAAAGCGCGTTTGATTGTTCTACATTGTAAATCGGCGCTTTGCTTGACTGAGTCTCAAAATCTTCATTCATTAGTCCAACAAGACAGTTTATTGGGTTTTTTTCCCACCGTTTTGTGTATTCCAACAAGTGCATCACAGCAACAAAACACGACTTTATTTTAAAGTAATTTGTCGATGTTATCGATTGCTAATTCAGACAGTAAGAGCGACACCCTATCAAAATGTATCCAAGAATTATAAATAAATCTAGGAATAATATTGTATATTAACCCAGGAAGAACACTTAATATGAAAATGAATACATTTTGAACTTATTCTTCATTAAATCATACTCAAACTAATATTGACCAAGTATGTTTTGAAGAGAGTAGTTGACAGAAGGTCAAGTAGTACAATGCAATGCAGTGCAGTTATATCTTTATTTAAAAGCAGATTAAATTAGCTTGCGAATTGAAAGAAATTCATTCAACACAAAGTTTCCTCTGGACCTTTCGCATATACCCAATAAGTTTTCGATATCAAAAAAATCAACATTGTGTTGATGATAACTCAGCTCTGAGTACTGTTATCAGATTAAATTCCTTTATCCTTTCTGGTACATATCTACACCATTCTCAAAATTTCTACTCATCAGTCAAACAAGAGAATTCAATCTTAATACCTAAACTAGTCATTTGACCGACTTCATTTCTTCTGGAGGTTTTCGCATCCCCAAACTAGTTGTTCGATGAAAAAATAGAAATACATAACGTTACCGAAAAGTCCTTCGATATAATTTTTGATGGTCAATTTTGATTTATATTAAAGAAAACATAAAGTTAAGAATTGTGAATCAAAAAGAAATCCCTGTCCAGTCTTTTTTAGTAAAAGAGTTTTTTTTCCTTTCAGATCAGGAAATTAAAATATGTTGATTTTTTCAATCATATTTTAATTAAATTGGACTTAATTTCTTTTGATTGACATTGCATTCTAGTCCAGTGCAATATAAGTGCAGTTAAATTCTTATCAAAATAAACAAGTAAAAAAAAAATCACATATCAGTCAAAGACAAGCCTTCTTTTCATCTGGATGTTTTGCGCATACCAACACTTGTCGGTTGATGAAAAATCATCAATACGTAAGTTTGTCGAAAAGTCTTTCGACACAATTACTGATAGTTAATTTTGATTCCTATCAAGGAGAACAAAAATTCAAGAAAATGTGGATTAAAACAGTTCCATCAAGTCTGTTTCTTTAAAAACTTTTTCCTGGGACGAAATATATAGAAATAGTGTGGATTTCCAATCATTTTTGGAATTCAATGACGAAACAAATTGACTAAGTTTATTTTGATTGGTCACTTTGCAAGGCCTTACAATGGGTTACATTGTATTGCTGCAGAGCATGCAGAGTGCAGTATCATTCAATGATACTATTATTTAATCAAGTACAAATAGTTTACTTGTTGGGAATATTCCCCCACCATCCACCCTCCAAAGACAGCCTATATATACATTTTTCCCTTGCGACTGATTATAAGTAGTAAAATTTGCATAATGTAAGTCTGTGACAAAGTTCGATAACTCAAATTATGGCCCTTT